CCGTCACTGACATGGAGACTTCTCTAGAGTGAGTTGGATGTTAGTTCTTCACATTTATTTGTCTCACTTATATGAATTGGAAGCTTTCAGTGAGTGTATGGGGTACATCAGGCAACGGCCACTTTAAGCACGAACAGCACTTCCATGCACTGATTTCCCACTGTTGTATAGTGTGCCTGGTCATTCTGTCTAATGTATAATGTGTTACTTTGCGTTACATTACAGGTAGGGATGTCCCGATCCGATCTTGAGACTCACAATCAAGGCATTTTAGACTGATCGAGATCGGGATTAATGAGTAGATCAGCTCCCAATCATGCGCCACAACATGACTGCTTTATAAAGTTGGACCTTGACATGATGTCTGCAGTGTGGAAATATTTTACACTGAAAAACGAGAGCTGCGCAACTGCAACTTGTACTGTCTGTAAATTGAGCATTTCGCAAGGAGGTACTAATAGATCTTCGTTTAATACAACAAATTTGATCAGACATATAAAGTTAAAACATGTGGCTGAGTACAGCGAATTCACTCAGGGAAAGGCTGCGTCGAAGCAACACGCACTGGAGGAAACTTTCACACAACAGCGATTAATGCAAAAAGGATTACAGAGCGGATGATAGAGTTCATTGCTCTTCACGACCAACCCATCGCATTTAATTTTTAATTTATCTTTATTTTATACTTACAATGATTATTTTTTTAATAAACCCATGCTATGTGAAAGTTCCAAACAATTTTACAATTTTTTTTTTACCATTTTGATAAAAACTAAAGGTTTTTAAAGGGAACAAGTCCCCTTGCTGCACTTGCTGCACTGCAGACCTACTGAGTTGTCAAGCATATACACCATAGATTTTAATAATTTTAATGTACTTATGGTCTATAGTTTGCACTGTGTGCTGTTGGAAAATACATGTATTGGTTTGAGACTCTGTATCGGCCGATAGTTAATCTTAGATGACTCGGATCGACAATCTTGATCGGGACATCCCTAATTACAGGTTGTACTCTTCCTCTGTCTCTCCCCCTTAACTCATTGTCAATTGTACATGAATTCTTTTTCACTAAGTAAATTATTCCAAAACTGTTGGTGCGTTTTGAAATCACATATTTGCACAGTGGGTATTGAATTTCGTCAGAAACCTACTACTCATCCATTAATTCAATATATACTGTATGCAATCACATGAACAGTATGCATGCACTCAGACACTGCAGTCGTCAGATTCGGACATACTGCTTATGTCGCCTATTACATATCTAATATTTGGATGCACCCTCTGTATTTGGCACTGTAATGTTTGTCCTGTCATGAATGTTGCACCGTGAGTTCAGGAAGAACATTGTTTTGTTTCTCTAATTTATACATGGTTGGGAGGACAATAAAGCTTTACTTGACTCTGAAGATGATGACACAAGTCTAAGAGGCCGTGTACTTCACAGGAAGCTGCAGGTGGCGCTAAGTGGACGAGAACGGGAAATCGAGAGCCTACGGCGACAGCTGGATGCAGCACAAGAGGAGCTCGCGGTGGTGGTAAAGGAGAGAGAGGTCATCCTGAGGGAGAACAGAAGACTGCAGGACGATCTGGCAACCATGACCAGAGAGAACCAGGTATGTGCACACATGACCGCGCGGCATTGTGGGTATTTCAGTGCAGTACTTACCGTAGGTATCTGGAAATTGTGAATTGATGTTGGGGAGAAACCCAACTGTCTGACCCACTCAGTAAATCGGATGGTACAGACTTGTTATGCACCTGGTGACACGTTCAGAGTCAATACTGATGTTCCTGTTGTGTGTTTAGACGGTCCATACTGAGCTGGAGGAGGCAATGCACCAGAAGGATGACCTGAAGATGAGGGTTCACTCTTACATCGCTGAAGTGGCAAGGGTGGAGAACATGATGGCACTTAAGGTCAGCATGAATGGTGGAATAGTCATTCTGCCCAAGCTGGACACTTACAGTGGTCTCAGATGAAAATAGCAACATGGATTGTTCCATGCAGGAGCATGAGAACCGGGACATCCTCGAGAGATTTCGGACGGCACACTCTCAGGCCGAGGACTGGGAAGCGAGACTTCAGCAAGTGGAGGGGCTCAACTCCTCCATCCGTCTCGAGCTGCTCTCCACAGACACTGAGCGTAGGCACCTGAGAGAGAGGGTGGCGCACCTCGAGAGGGAGATCCAGGAGGTGAGTGACGAGCCAAAGAGGAGAGACAGATTGGGCGCCATCAGTACTGTATCAAGGCTTTGTTTGTTTTTATTGTATTTATAAATCACTTGTGGTATTAGTCTGCTGTTTGGGGGGGTAAAAGCATCATTATTATTTCTTCATTTGTCTCAGTCGTAATTTTCACCATCAGATGCCATGAGCCCTGAAGAGACCCTGTGCTGTTCGCTTGGCACTTGCTGTTTGGTTCCCCCCTTGCCCTTTGCGCCGGTTCCCCATGGCTGTCTACGTCGGTTCCCTCTGCCCCAGTTCCGCCTCAGCCCTCCATGCTAGTTCGCTCAGCTCTTTCTGTTGGGCTCCCCCCCCCCCGGCCCTCTGCACTGGTTTGCTCAGCTCTTCATGTTGGGGTCCCAGCTTTCACGTGCTACATTGTAGATATGCAGTCGGTCTCCTACTTCAAGTTACTTCAAGAGCAGGTGGAGCAGACTCTCTTGAACAGCCAGCAAACACCGTCATGTTGCGTTCCCCCTCGCCTCCCGGCCCTCTGCACCACTTCACTCGGCTCTTTGCTCTCTCTGTCCGGCCAGCACCTGAATGCCCAGCAGGCCTACGAGATGCAGGCGTCCTCGCTGGTGAAGAGCCTGTCGCGGCTGGAGGAGGAGCTACAGGCCGCCCATGCGGGGAAAGCGGCTGCCCTGGCGGATTTGGCCTCTGCCAGAGAGCTCTGCGTCAAACTCGATTCTGCCAAAGACGCCACAGCCCGCAAACTCGCCTCCAAGAGCATGGAGCTGGAGAGGGTTTGTAAATCTGTCATAATGTACCTCCTTCCATCATATGTGTCCTTTGGCTATATGTTTAGTACAGCCCTTAACAGTTAGCTTTGCTCTTTTTAAACACAATACATTTTTGCTTATATCATTGTATTTTTCTGTGAGGTGGTGTAAGGCTAAGCAGGTTATCATACTGCACTTGGGATCGGAAGGTCGCAGGTTCAAATCCCAGGGACCGGCTGACCCCTGCTCTCTTAAAAACAAATGTCTCTTTGGGCAAAAGTGTCTGATACATAACTAACTACACAAATGTGGTTAAAAGAAGATCCAGCACCCGGGAATTTCATCCCCTCACTGGAGGAATTAGGTCAGCTCCCAGCTGCAGGCTGCGCAGGCTTGGGCGCCTTTCCACAGCCGTCTCCCCTCCTAACTAGCTGGTGGCAGAGCTGGAGGATGTGCGGTCAGAAGCAGACGTTTTGAGGAAGCGGGTGTCGGACGAGCACCAGAACGTGAAGAATCTGGAGTCGTTGCTGTCCAGCGAGCGGCAAAAGGAGTTCCAAACCCAGCTGAGCAGCAGTGAGAAGGAGGCAGAGGTCCGGACCCTGAGGGACCGCCTGGCCTTAGCGGACAGCAAAACGTGAGGCCTCTCTCTGTCTCGGCGCGGGAGCTACTAGCAGAGGAAGGTACAGGCAGGCTGATGTGACCCTCTGGCTGTCTCCACAGGGCAGGGTATGTGAAGGAGGTATCCCAGCTCCGAGCTAAAGTCTCTCAGATGCAGACGGAGTTGGATGCGTTGAAGAGGCAGTTGACCACAGAACGCTTTGAGCGGTAAACCACCTATAGGGTAGTCCCATAAATCATGAATGAAGCATGGTTTGCTGTCTTATACAGCTGACAACCCCATAATTCATTTTGTTGAAGAGTTAAGTTCAGTTGTGTTTATTGGTTTGAATTACTCTTTGATATATCTCCAAGTACAGCAGAACAGAAGTATAATACATTTAACGGTGATTGAAAAGCACGAAGTATAGGTACTTTAATGCTTTTAAATGTCCTTTTGGTTTTCTGTATGTTCCATAACTGCAGAAATTTTCTATTTAAGTTCAAAAGAGAGCTTTCCTGATTATTTCTTTCAGGGAACGAGCAGTGCAGGAAATGCGCCGGCAAGGTTTGTCCTCCTCCACCCTCCGTAGCTCCTCCCCCTTAAGCTCCTCCCTCAGTCCCCACCGCCTTTCTTCAGACCATTCCATCCTGCGAACTTCAAACTCTACAGAGAAAGTGAACAAGTCCCCAGAGAAGTGAGTCCTCAAATCCTCACTCCGACTAACTTAACTCTTTAATTATCCAACCCTCTTTGCTAATGCTCAATTACAGTGATACTTAGACAGCCTTTTAGTTTTGGTTACATATAAATACATGCTGTGTTTCTGTCTTGTTTTAGAAACGGATCTTTAAGCATCAGAGACAACAAAGAAAGTATCTAAGAAGAGATATTTCCTTTCCGGGACCTCCTTGGAGAAATGTCAAACAGCTGGGCAGTGCTCAGTTCTGTGGTCAGAAAGGTTTATTTATAAATATCAACCTATACCCATGTGAATGTTGTGTTGCCAGCTTACAATGGAAGACTGATCAGTCGTGAAGTGAAACTTCCTAAATTAAATCGTGTCCATAACTGTAAATTCACATGTAGCTTCTGTCACATATGTGTATTTAAATGTCTTTTATGTCATTTAATATTCTGTAAATTAATCTTTTAAAGAATCTTTTCTTTGACAAAGAATATTTTTGCTCCATGCTTTTTATATGAAACATATTTTTCATTGCTTGTATTAGTAAATTAACAAATAAAGACCACTTCAGTTGTGTAATGGGAGCTGCAGTGAGTGCATTTAATGCCAAAACAACCTGAGAGACCTCTGGCCGGACCACTGCTGATTCCCACCAAACTGCTTAGACAAACCATCTGTTTTCTGAAACTGCTTGAATAGGGGAAGTAGCTATGAGTCACTCCTGTTTGGTGAAATCGAGCAAAAGAAATGTCATACAAACCAAAGTGATGCTTCGTTACTTGGGGAAACTGAAGCAGCCTCCCAGAACATTTAATACAGAATTATTGCGTTTTATACAACAGTATGTTCTAACCAAGAAATCGGATTGGATAAGAAGCGTTTTATGAGTGCTGTTATCAGTATATCCGGACTCGGACATTTCACATCAGATGTATCACTTAGTTTTACAGGTGTATCTAAAAACTGTTGTATTTAAATTTAAATAAGGCAAAGTAGTTGGGAGAGAGTGAGCTGTTACGTTGGAATGTTTGTGTTTCTTGGCAAAAGTCAAGAGTTGGCTGGTGGGAACGATTTGTTTGGCCCATAACTCTTCAAATAAATAATCGATTATGGCTTATTACTATTACCTTATAAATGATGTTCGATTTGGTTGTGCCTACAGCCAAATCACAGCTGCGATATATTGGAGTAAAACTACACTCCTAATATGTTACTGCATAATTACCCATCAGGATTTGTCACGATCAGTCACTTGATTCGGTAGCAGAAAATATTTTGTGGGGTTGTCCTCCAGAATATTACAATTTAAGGATATAAAATGTATGTAGTATTCAGACTTCATACTTTAATACTTTTGTTGTTGCATAGAATTTCATCTGTCTCTGATTTCCTGTGGTGGTCAATGTTCACTCCTACTCAATCTCCACGAAATATATATGCAAGTGTAAAAAGTAAAAAAAAAAGTAACTTCCTATGAAAATAGTGCAGTATTTATATAAAACCACGAGGTTTCTCCCAGTCCACGGTGAGCATCCGATGTCTGCAAGCCATAGTGTTTCTGTTGGGAGGGTGGATGCGCAGCTCAGTGTCTGCAGGCCTGGCTGGTTGTGTTCGGCAGCGAGTAGGTGAAGAGGGAGAAGTCCAGGATGTACTTCGGAAGCAGTTCCTTCAGGAGGGCTTGCGGGAGACTGCAGAGGTAATACTGCAGCGTCTCTACGCTGATCGGCCGGTACCAGCTCTGGCGCTCAGGAAAGTGGACGTTTGGTGGGGCCCCCACCCGCTGCAGCACATAGTGGCCGTCGCTCTGTAGGCGCTCATACGAGCCCACAAAGTCATAGGGCACGGCGCACGGCTGGCAGAGATTATATACGGGCATCCAGTGCTCGTTCATCCTCTCGACATCTTCGTCCACCAAGTACCGTACGAACTCTGCAAACGTCACGTCGTCCCCCGTCGTCCGTCCCCCGCCCTTCCTGTAACGCCTCACGATTTCCACGCCATACTTGCGCTGGTAGGCCTCGATCTCCCCGAACTTGTTCCTGTAGGCCGACAGGAGGCGCTCCATGGGCTCTCGCACGAACAGGAACTTGAAGTAGTGCTGGAGGCGGTAGCGAATCTCTTCGGGCTGCATGTCGGCCAGGAACACCAAGTCACTCTTGTGGTCCATCTTGATGTTGACGTCTACGTTGTCCAGGGCACCACTCAGCACTTTCAGTACCCGTTTCCAGTTGGAACAGGCCACTTTGGGCACGTAGCAGTACAGGAAGCGATAGTCGTCATTCACCAGGATGTGCTGCAGCACCGTGCGCCGCTGCAGGGGGCTGAGAGACCACACGCTACGTGGCATGTTCTTCTGGCTGCACACCGTCCGGATGGTACGGTTGCGAATCTCCTGAAGGATCTGAACAAAATAAATCAAAACATTAAAAAAAAAAAAGAGAGAGAGAAAGTTGCAACAATGCATTATAAATAACCTGTCAAATTCTCCCCGTTACAATGACAACTTAAACGCAATCATTTATTTTACTGACGGCAGCTCGCCGACTATGCATGATTTAACGATGACCAACAATAGCACAGTTTGTTTTACTACTATTATTATCCAAGAGAGACAGCACTCTTACACGCCAGCAGGGCACTTAGAAAGAGATCCTTACCACAATCTGTGCAATAACCCGAAACGTTAAATATTTTCAGTATGGGGTACCTTACACCCAACAACTTTCCTGTAAGGAACATGTGCTGACGTCCCCGACTTTTCCTAAAAGTTGCTAATATGTTCGCCAGAGACAGTTTCCCGTTATCTACACCAAGCTGATTATGTTAGTGTTATTGCATGGTATATTATGTAGCTAAATCGTTAGTTTAAATCTGCCAGTTACTTGAGCGTCAGTGTCTCCTGCAGCGTCGTACTGCCCGGCGTGCGGTCGGTGATCCGCAGTCCGGCCGCTCGCCCGCGGTGGAGGGGGATCCATGCCGTTGAGCATCCCCTTCTCGATCATGAGAAGCAGGCCTCCAGACGCCACGATCACCGCAAACGTCAGCACGGAGGGCAGCACGGCGGAGCCGCGCTTCCCGAAACCCGAGCCCATCGAGGAGCGCAGTCGGAAGCTCGGGCTCCGCATCCCACCGCCTCTATTCACCGCAAAGTCCTGCTTGCTGGGCGGCATCGTGCTGCTCGGTTTGCTGGTGCCCGAGGTATGTTTATGAAGAAGCGGGCAGGACCATCGCTAAGCGGCTCTCCGGCACACAGGCGCTGGCTCGCTGGCTGGCTGGCTGGCGGCGCTGCGAAGCCGCATTCCTGCGCATTTCTGGGACTTGTAGTTCGTCCGGGGGGTGGTGCTGGTATACCCCGCATCCAGGCGAACCCACTCACTGCCGGATAACGCAAGACGATGCTCCTGAGTTTCACTTATGATATCTGTGCGTATCACTTCCACATTTAAACCAGTTTAATATTAATGTATGGGAGATGGCAGTGCCATTTGCACGGCGAGCGACTGAAAGTCGGCTATAACGACGTAGTTAGTAAAGATTTCAGATCCCAGATTTCGTAGGTCTGATCTCAGCAAATGTCCAAATTACGGGACATTTCTGCGTGACTTTGACACAGGCATGCATGCCGTAGCGGCATCCATCGTTCAACAAAGCACTCTTTCCATCTGAATCGCATCATCTTCCTTCATGGGGGCATCGTGTTGAATTCCAGGAATAAATTCAGCCTGACTTGGAACAGTAGACCGTTCATGTGGCGTGTTTATGACAATCGCAGCGTCTAAATTACACTGTCCGTTTGCAGTAACGCAAAGTGAAGGGGAAGCGTGTCGGCCACGCCCTCCCGGTCCGGGTGCAGCTGTGCGGGACGCGAACCTCCCGGACCCGGTCCTCTCCGGAGACCCGGGCGCAGCATCAGCAGCACAAAGGGAGCTGAGGACGCAAAACCCGGGGAGCCTGTGAGCACGGGAAAGCCTTTCGTTAAGTGGTAGGATCTCCTGCTTTTTATACATGTAAAACGTGGAGCCTTTGTCTAATGCCGACCTTGTCTTTGCATTTATTCATTCTTACACTGGCATCAGATGGGTATTTCAGCATATCGCATAAATTAATTTAATTAGTCAGACATATATCATTTTATTTATATAAAAATTTTAATATAATTTATATATATATATATATATATATATTATATAGGCCTATATATATATATAACCCCCAGATCTTAAAGTATATATAGAGAGATTTGTGTAACAAATATATTTGTACGTAATGATACGAATTTTGAGATGTTTACACAATTTCGGAATTGCAGTTCCCCACTTGAGTAGCCTAATTATGTAAATCCGTAGATTGTGCCCATACAGGCTATGGGTAATGCCTATGCCTTGTGCAGCGTGTTTGGACGGATGGACACCTTCGTTCTGCCGATGACTGTTTTTCCATTTGTCTGCTTTTTTTATTATTGTGTTTCATGTTGTCTTCGTTCGTGTGGTCTTAACGTTTTCTGGTTGCTTTTTCATTATTTGTGTTTTCCTTCCTTTAATTCTCATTATGGAGACGGCACCATGATTATCGCAGTAAAACGTGAGAAATGTATAGTCTTTTTAAAGCACGATGCCGTAGATTTAAGGACCGTCTCCATAAATTACCAAGACGAAGGATTTGCCTCAGAGGGCAGCTTATTGTTGTCGGAGACAGGATGACGCGCAAATGTGATCGCGCATTGCTTTTCGAGGAAAACCGCGTTTTATTCGGATCATACCTGAAATTCCGGTAAATTATGCCCAAAATTAGGAGGGATAGGTTAACTCGTGAGAGGTACCGTCTCCTTCGCGAGGCGACCCAGTGAGCGGGTTAATAGCGAGCTTCTGTATGTGTCCCATTGGGTTTTACTGTTCATATCAGCAATTTCCTTAGACATTAATAAAGCATCTATCTATCTATCTATCTATCTATCTATCTATCTATCTATCTATCTATCTATCTATCTATCTATCTGTCTGTCTGTCTGTCTGTCTGTCTGTCTGTCTGTCTGTCTGTCTGTCTGTCTATCTATCTATCTATCATAGTTTAGCGGTCAATCTTCATAAAAATTATTCAATTGATATAAAATGTATTATCCTTCAAAAGCTTCCATTGTCTGTATTTGAAGTTATTTTTTGTTAGCAAAAGGTTAGTGTTAGCAAGGTAATCGTGAGCGGTTTTCATGCGTTGGATATCTTGATGGAATATGATACCGTTGTGGACTGGATTTCTATATCCACACTTTATCGGGTTTCCATACATATATATTGAATGGAAAAATATATAAACAATAACATAATATGTATATTTTATCCAAAAATTACACATTTTATATTCTGAAGATTTATATTCTGGGGGATTTATTGTCAAGGCTAGACTCAATATCCCCTGTATGCTGACCATAAAACGGGTTTTGATTGTACACATCAGAAATCTTTGTTGTTTAATCTTGTTCTATATAAACACCATCAACAGCTGAGGTACAGAAATGTTTGGAAAATGTCAGTCCTTTAACCATCTATCTATTCATCTGCCTGTCTTCATTCTGCTTTCCCTGGTGAGGGTTATCTGAAATGTAAAATACTCTTTCTGCAGTATTGCTGGAAATTCTCAGAAATCTTGTCTCCCACAGTGGACAGTGTGTAATTCTGTACTCACCACAGGTCGCTTAATGCTGTAGTTTTATTTGGGTGCGATATTATCACTTGTTTTTACTTTCATTTATATAGATTAACAAACGGAGTAAATCTTTGTTTATTTTAAAAGTATCTTCAACCTACCAGCAGGGGCGCTGCTGCAGATGCTGGGCCCCATCACAGGATATCATGTAGGGGCCCCAAGTCAGAGCAACCCTGTCACTCAAGGGCCCTTGGAATCGTCTTAACTTTCCCTCCCCCTTTATGACACCCCTGACTGCCATTGTGAATGTTACATCACAGTGGACACAGACTTTCAATATTCACTTGGGCATCTAATGGAGGTGCACCTGGAAGCCCACAAGAGGGCAATGATGTTGTACCTTGAGATGATCCAACCTGAATTGTGTGGCCTTGCACTGATCGGGCTTCCTAAGGGCGTACTATAATCAATAGTGTAGTAGTTCTTATCCCTTGTCTCCAACTTATTAGCAGGTAGAGCAACACCTATAGAAGGAGAGTTCAATAATCTGAAATCAAACTGATGTTGTACCTTTGAGGGAGAGATTATGCCAAACCTTTTTGTAATGTCAAACTGTGATATAAAACAGGACTCCTAATCTACAGCCTTTAACTGCTTTATTGAACACTTGTTAAATATTTTACTTGTATTATATATTACTTCATTTGGTACTGTATATCATGAGCTAATACAATAGAAATCCGTCTGTTTAAACTTAATGTCCGTTCTGCTAATTTATGATGAATATTAATGAATAATTAAGTGAATATGAGCCAGTGTTGGCCAAATGCTTGTTAGTACTTTATAATTAGTGAAACTCGGTTTGCATGTATTTTTCAATAAGCTTGTAAAGTTTAAGGTTTTCTCTGTTTCTCTGATTGTTTCTCTGTTTCTCTAATGTCTTCTGATGCTTTATTCTAGAGCTTGCACTCAAAATGTTCTGAATATCGCATCCATAAGGCAGATTGTGTATTTAGTCATTTCTTTTCTGAGAGTTTGAGGCTCGTGCCAAACTGGACTGCATGCCTCTTATGCAAGCAAAGTCTAGAGCCGTTGCTAATCAGCAATCCCGAAGTAGCAGCAGAACATGAAGTTTATCAAGATCCCCGCTCAGGCGCTCAGAGTTCAGGTTCTAAGTTTTGCTGTGTATTCACCGAATACAATGAATTGAGTTACAGATTTTCTCCCACTATATCACAGTGCTACACAAGACAATACCAGGTAGTGCATAAAACATAATACAATAGCACCATAGAAAGCCTTTCTTGTCATTGTACATGTAGCGAGTACAACACCATTCAGTCTTCACATGTCCTGTCCTGTTCTCGACATGCACACACAGACATATACAGCCGATAGTGAAGCTTTGGGTCAGAGCACAGGGTCTGCCAATTAATCTGGCAGCCCTTGGCTATCAGGGTTATGGGCCTTGCTCAAGGGCCAAACGGTGATGTAACTATTCTGTGGAGCACGGGATTTGAATCGGCAAATTTCCAATCACAGGCATAACCCACTGAGCCACAAGTGGTGCAAGAGAAGTGTGCAGAACCTAATGCACTATTTTGCATTGTGAAAAATGACAACTTACAATGAATACTGAACCATTTATTGGGGTTGTGGAGGTATGTACAGGGTTAGGTGTCAGAGTCTCGGACTGTTTGCTGTCCTATTTACTGAAGCTGTTACTGAAGCGTGTGGAGTTGGTGGAGAAGAAAAGGGAATGAGCGACATGATCCGTGATGATGCTCTCAGTCCTCTTCTTACAGCAGGGGTTGTAAGTGGATTGGAGCTGGAAGGTCAGAGCCATTGATTTGAGAAGCTGTAGTGACAGATCCTGAGCTGACAGGTTACCCATCCACACTGTGATGCATGTTGTTAGAGTGTTCTCAGTGGTGCAGAGGGAGACGTTTATGCTGATTTTAATCTCCATGCTTTAGCCTCATCCGGAAGAAGAGTCTCTGTTGCACTGTTTTCAGGATGTAGCTGGTGTTGAGAGATCATGACAGGGAGTATGAGAGCTGGACGGCGAGGAATTTGACGCTGCTGACTGCTCTCCAGGAGATCCGTCGATGAATAGAGGGGAGTGAAGGCCTCTGGTCTTTCTGAAGTCGATGTTGATCTCCTATGTTTTGTCCATGTTCAGAGTGAGATTATTCTCCCAACGCCAAACAGCCTGGTCCTTTAACTTTTCTTCTGTAGGTTCTGTAGTTCTTCATCCTTCTTGAGGCCAGTCACTGTGAGGTCATCTGCAAACTCAGTGCTGCTCTTTCTCGCATTCTGTGCCACACAGTCATGGGTGAACAGATTGTATAACAGGGAGCAACAGTCCTCAGCCACACAGATTTGTGCTGCTTTGTCTGCACAGTGATGTTTCGTTTGGCGAACACAGAACTGGTGTGGAATATTTACGCCAACCACAATGAAAGTGAGAAATTCCCAGGAAGGAGAGAAGGGCTTTCAGTTTATTAAAAGTTATTTCAAGTCTGGACATCTTTTCAAAAGCAATCTGGCATTTATACGCACTAGTGGCCAAAATTGTGGAAACACTAAGCATTTTTGGTATTACTCTTTAAGAATTACTACACGAACATTTGTGGTAATGTTTATAAACAAATATCATACACTGGACAATTAAATAAGTAACTAGAGTAACTGGAATAAAGTTCTGCAATCTCTAAAAATTGGAATTGTTTCCACAACTTTGGCCACTAGTCTAGAAGCTGCTTCTTCCTTCTTTCATATAACCAAAAAAGAGTGACGGCCGATCTGCTTTTTGTAGCTAAATGCCCTGCAGCTGTAGCCTTTTGACCAGTTTTGACTTGCATAGCCATGTTTCCATGAAACAGGGGACAGATGAGAAGGAAAGGTCCTTATCTTTCACGATCAGTAGTTCGTCCACTGTGCTCCAAAGTGGTTGGAGATCAGTGAGAAGATTTTCATGCACCAGAGCTGCAGTGTGTTTACCTCTCCTGGGTTTCAGTGTCCGGAGAAGAACTGCGAACTGCAGATCTGTAGAACAAGAACTCCAAAGAAACTGGTAGATGAAGAAAAATTTAATAGTATCATACTTTGGATATTGAGCAGTTTTTCTGTTGTGTAACTTGTTGATTTTTGACAATTTTACCACACGAAACAATCAAAAAACAGAAGACAGCACTGCCACGATCACTGCCATGATCACTGCCACGATAACTGCCACGATCACTGCCATGGCTGCCACTGACAGCGCTGTGTCATTCATGTTTAAATTCCGCATTGAATTCTGTGTTACTACAGTGTGACAGCACAGCATGCAGGTATAGTCTGGGGATGGAGATACAGTGTCATGACAAACTGTGGTGTGATAGCACAAGATTGAGGTTCGATGTCATACAACAGAGTGGTGAAGAACAGTATAGTGGTAGATTATGTAAGGGCAATAAGCCTGGTTGAATTTATTTGCCTGTAATTTGACATTTTGATTGGTTGCTGATAGCAAAATGAGCAAGTACATCCTGGATAATGGAGAATCAAACTCTCTCTGTGCTGTTCGTACAGGTGTTGCTGTTTTTGTTGCACATTTCTGCGAGTATGTTTGTGTAGAAGAGCTTAGCATTTCCGATTGAGTAGAATGATTATTTTAATAGTATTAATGCATAGAAATAGCAGTTGATGATTAATGTAGACCATATAAGTACTTACTGCAAAAGTATGAGTACATTATTTATTTATGCATAATTAATAATTATAAATCATTTCTTACTATTTCGTTTTAATACATATTTATTTATTTCTTAAATTTCCATAATATTCTGTTTCCTGGACTATATTTATGTATTGCGCAACTTTTAATTTTGTTTGTATTACATTTATCTGTGCTCTCTTTGCTCATTGTCTAGTGCAGTATATGTATGCACTATACATATGCACAGGAATTTCCCCTAGGATCAATAAAGTTAATCTAATCTAATCTAATCTAATCTAATCTAATCTAATCTAAGATAATCAATATCAAAAACTTGGCAAATGGCAATAAGAATATGGAAATATTCACACTTGCACATGTAGCGAAGCACACACTGAAACGCACGCTGTCGCTCGCTCGTGTACACACACCCACTGCCCTCATGCAGCTGACACCTGATCGCGCTCAGTGTCCCACTTCTGCTTGCACTCAGCAGAGCTTTGGGTCGCTGCTGCTGTGGAAGAGCCGCAGAAAGGTAGGACTTCGTTCCTCCAAACGGATCTCGGGGAATCGATGCCTCATTGGGCCCAAAGGACCATATCAGCACTGGATCTTTTTCTTAAAAGCAGAGGAATCTTGTGCGCACCTTTTATAAATAGAACAATTAAACAAACAATGGTATAACTTAGTAAAACCTTATTCTGAATACTGTAGAATGGTGTATTTTGTACAAATCAGATAGTAAGGTGATATATACTATATTGACTCTGGGGGAAATTAAAACATGAAAGGGTGTATTGAAGTTTAATCATTTATAGGAGTAAATTGTACATAAGTGATTATAAGATGGGTGTGTGCTGTGTTTGTGCTCCTGTGTTTGTATATGTTGTCGTTCTGTTGGTATGAATAGTGTTCTTTTTTGTAATTTGGCATGTTTTGTGGAATGTCATATCTATGTATATGTTTTTCTAGAATGTTGTATGATTGCTTTTGTAAATCTCCTGTGTTATGCGAGTGTGTTTTTTAAATGTCTTGTGTTTTGCCTGTGCATGTTTGTCTGTGTGGTTTTGTAAATGTCCTGTGTTTTGCCTGTGCATGTTTGTCTGTGTGGTTTTGTAAATGTCCGACGTTATGCCTGTGCATGTTTGTCTGTGTGGTTTTGCAAATGTCCTGTGTTTTGCCTGTGCATGTTTGTCTGTGTGGTTTTGTAAATGTTCTGTGTTATACCTGTGCATGTTTGTCTGTGTGTTATGGTTCTTCTGTGCATTCTCTGAGTATATTGCTGATTGGTGCCATACTGGCCTCCTTCCTGTTTCAATATCTGTACTGTACTTTTATGTTGTGTGTTATGCCTGTGTGCCTTTGTAAATGTAGCTGGTTTCGTCTGTGCGCTTTATCAGATGTTGTAATCGATGTCTGTGTGTGTTTTATCGAATGTTGTAATCTACATCTGTGTGTAAATGTGGTCTGTTGTGCCTGTGTGCCTTTGTAAATGTGTTGTGTTTTGCCTGTGTATTTTATTGGGTGCTGTAATCTGTGTCTGTGTGTAAATGTGCTGTGTTGTGCCTTTGCATGTTTGCCTGTATGTAGTGCTCCTTCTGCCACACTGGCCTTCTTCCTCCGCCGCCGCCGTGTGGAAACAGTAACCGCTGGTCATGTGATCTGGCTCATTGTATCACTCAATGTCTCTCTTTGCCCAGCTCCGCTCCATTGCCTCCTCTCTCGCCATCCATCCCATAATCCAGCAGTTATCTGGTGTTGCTTGTGCTTCTTTGTTTCCATACTTGCTCATTTATAGGTAGCATGTGAGATTTTCTCTGCAGTGCAGGTTAGGATTAATATAGCTCTGGTTTTATGCATGTGTTTGACCCCGTGTGTGAAGGTCATTGATAGGTTTGTGTGGTGTGTGTGTGTGTGTGTGCGTGTGTGTGTGTGTGTGTGTGTGTGTGTGTGTGTGTGTGTGTATGCTCTTGGCAGGTGAAGGCCCGCCCCCTTCTCTGACTGCCCCCAGTTAAAAATGCCCACTGGTGTCAGTTACACAGAGTGCCCTTGTTCACATGGCTTGGGTTGGTTGCCATAGAGTTCAAAACATAAGGCAGCGAGTTCATTTTGGAGAGAGAGAGACAGAGAGAGAAACTCATGGCGAGGTTTGAACAGAGACCCAGTGTGTCTAGCATGCGTAATAATATTAAATTATCAAAAGACTTTTATCCAGCTGCTAAGCACAACAACAACAACAATAATAATAATACATTAGATTTATACAGTGCTTTCCAAGGCCCAAAGACGCCAGCAATATTCAACAATATTAACAAAGAGTATCTGCATAATATTTAAACAAGAATATTTTAAAATCTAGATCCATTCTCTTATGTTTTTTTTAAAAAAAACTTTATAATGCGCCTTAATTTTTTTTTGGATGATCCGTCTGGAATATATTAGAAACATGTGACAGCAGTGGTGATAATCAAAACAGAATCTGTTGAATGTAAGCCTCATAAATGTTTTGAGCATCTTATAAAATCCTGTCATTTGTTTTCAGTAGGAAACAGACAAGTATATTTAATCTTACCCTAGAAACAAGCATCGGAAATTCCTACACTTAGATCCATTCATCCATTTTGCTTAGCCACTTATGGGACGCAGCGTTGCCAGGAGCCGATACCAGTAAGTGTCCTGGTTTAAGGTGATTTTCAATGGACGGCATAACCATTCCGAATGTATTTGTATTTTTATTTGAAGACTTTGAGGTGTCCTCAGGTTTTCTTGGCTTGCTTATTCATACACAGGCAGTCATGTATGAGCTGGGGAGGATTTGTTGCTTCTGTAGCCCCACTCAATTAGTCCTGGTTAGTGGTACATGCTGCTTCAACGTCTAAATAAGGAATGTGTTTATTTAATATTTTGTGTAGTGATTCTTTTTGGCCAGCAGGGGGGGCATACTTCTGGGGGCCCGCACGAATGTGTGGTTTCAGTGGTTGTATGAGCCCGGCTGTTTGGCTTATTGCAGATACTCGCACCCGAGCACAGTCCAGGCACTGCCAGTTCAGGAAGCCCATGTTGACACTGCCGCTGTGGCTCCTTATACAAACACAATATGTCCAAAAAGATTTTTTGCGGGTGCCTGCTGTCATGCACATTTGACACATTTATGTGGGACAAAATTACTTTAGCGGGGTTCCCAAGACACCCAACCCCTCCCACCTGGGCCTTCTCCTTCCCACCTGCACCCCCAAGTGCCCCCCCAGAGAATATTGGGCCTGATTCTGTCAGACATGTGGTATTAACATGTGAATCTGTGCTCAGCGTATTTCTCCTTAATATCACGAATACATAGAGGAGGACCAGAGGTTTAGCTACCATGGAATTTTAAAGCAAGTTTTATACCACAGACCACTAGATGGTTAAAGTTTAAAGAGCTTGTGAATCAGAGAAATCTTGCAGTATATTATAGTTAAGGAAAATTTACCATCTCTTTATTCCATGGTCAAAATTCCACACAGCTTGGTAGCTCTCTACCGTGTTTTATTCTGTTCTTCAATCGTGTGGTGCATATTGCATTCCAAAAGTATTTTCTTTCGAATTAAGGATGTATAGTACCAAATTGTTGATTGTTCTTTGCTGGGCATGATGACATAAGAAAAGAAGCTTCTGTTGTACTGGAGTGTGAATCAGCAACCCATGTACCATGGGGCCACCTTGGGGGATGCACCCTTTGACGGCACAAATCAGGAAAAATGGCAAAAATAAGGACAGCCACAACATTTCAGCTGCCCTGTGTGTCTCCCCGCAAGGCACTGAGCATCTGAGACGCGTGTCAGGAAGTGAATGTGTGCTGTCTGTTTGTGCTGGAAGAGAGGAGTGGCCGGCGTGCGTGGTCCAGGATGGGTGACATTCATCTTCTTATGTCTTTCAGAGAAATTTGTTGTTACCATGGCAACAAACGCAAACGATGCTGATTTTGAGGTAACACTGCCTGAAAGTGCAGGTAAATAAAGAGTGAACTCAACCTCAGGTCAAAAAAAATATTGTATTTATTTACAAACTCAGTATTCAATAATGAATCAACATACTTTACGCGAATGCTAATACCCTTACGTGTGTCTTGGGCTAAGTATTACAATACTAATGCCTTTGCTTAGTGATTCATGTTTGCCTTATTGCAATGTCAGTCTTTTCTTATCTTTTTGCTCTTCTACACTAATGACTTTATATATTATATGTTTTATATAACATGTAGGCATATGCGGTTAAGTCCTAAATGCCTTCTCCCAGTTTGGTGTTGCCAGTGCAGTCTGTTACGTAGTGGTGTGTTGGGGTAATGGCATCAGTGCAGACGGAAAGCCGGCTCAGTCTTAGTGAGCGGTCTACACTCACTGGGGACTGAGGTGGGACAGAGGACGCTCAGGAAACTCCTGTTAGTGATCTTTGTGTAACTATTGCATATACATTCAATTAATGGCATTAAACATTAAATTGTGAAGTTGGTCAGTAGCTGACATCTTTTGCGAGAATAATACTTCCACATGTGGAAGATTTTCATGAGTTTGATCATGTGCTGGCAGAAATCACTGCTGGAATTTCATCATTTGACTTGGTTATATTGTAGTATTGCAGGAGGGGGGGGCAGGTGTATGATAGCAGTTGGACATTTTACTGGCTCAGGCAGGCTGTGGTAAAGGGTCGGCTTTCTGGCTGATCTAAATTATGGAAAGTTGCCGTTTTAAGTGGCTCAGCAGGTTAGGACTCTGTGCCCGTGACCGGAAAGTTGTCGGTTCAAATTCCGCGATCGACAGAGTAATTTCACTGTTGGGTCCCCGAGCAAGGCCTTTAATCCCCAGCTGCCCCAGAGACTGACTGACTCTCCTTTCTCAAAAACAAACAAGAAGCATGTCACTTTAGATGATGTATAAGTGACAGGCCGTTTACTGTGTTCTGCCATGAACATCATAAGTAGTTTTTGAGTGATTTTCTCTGTGCTATAATATATAACGTTACAGAGATGTGTGAGATGCCTGTGTGCTCTCTCCTCACTCTGCATGCATGATGTTACTGTCTCTCTCCCTGTCATTTTCCTGCTTTGGCTGCTTACACGTGAAAATCGCCACGACTGGCACAGAACTAGTGAGCTGACGGCTTGTACCACACTGCCATTTACAACCCGCAGAGCACAGGCAACAGGGAAAATTCCAGCCCTTTAAACGTCTGTTCCGGAAGAAGAAGAAGCGAGAAGCGACGGCGGACTTTGAGGAGGCCGGGATTAAATGTAGCCAGTCCACTGGAGACGTGACCAATGGGATTCTGTCTGATGATGAAGAGACCAATCAGCATCTGAGGTGAAAGTGCTCAAAAAGATACATGTCTGCTTGGAGAGTCACTTGAGTGCGCTTGTTGATTAACTGGAATTTCATGTTAGTTGTACCAGTTATTGGGTGATATAGCCTAAGTACATCAGTTTTGGTGTATGGGCAGTTCTCAGCTGATGTAAGCAATCCATTCCACAAACCCTTATGTAAGTCAGATTTACCTTCCCATACCATTCAAGACACCTTATAGAAAAACACATAATAATAAAAAATATACTAGTAATGCGTACTAAAGAATACACATTAAATAAATGAAAAAATAAAGTGTAAATCAAGCACATGTGGCCTTTTTGTGTTGGTGCTTTCATAAACCATATTTGTATTACTTGTCTGTAAATCAGCTGTTGATTGTTGAGTGATGAGGGTGATTCCCCAACAGTGAATACTGAGTGCTTGTTTCTGAGTTTTGGGCCCTGGGTGCTTATGTGCTGAATGTAAGGGTTGCCTTTTGAGCAATCAGCAGTGAATGTTAAGTTTTGATTGTTGAAAATGTATTTGCCTATAAGTTCAGTCTCCATTCTTCTTTAGTTTCACGGCATGTAATAATTCCACATGAAACATTTGACTGCTGTGGTGAACCTGCTGTATCATGTTATTAATGAGACAAGTGGCCATTCTGTACTTAATTCTTTGGATATTTAACGATGGCAGAAATTCATCTAGTGCTGCCTTCAATGCTTTGAGTAAAGATTGTGCCTTTTGTGTTTCAGGAAATTTTTGTTCTAATTTGAAATGATCTGCATTTGTACTGGAGAAAAAATGGCGTCCGTGGTTTGTCTTGATTGTCCCTTTTTACAAGAACCCTTAGGATCTGAATGGTTGAATAACTTTGTACTCTGTCTCTTTGCGGGGTTAGGATCCGAGTGGCTGGATATCTCTGTACCCTGCTTCTCTGTGGGGTTAGGACCAGCACGGTCAGGACAGCCATAATTAATATATTCTCTCATGGTCTCTTTCTAGGGCAGTAAACACTCTCGGCTCCCGGGCCATCTCCCATGAAAGCATATTTATCTGTGAAGAAACCAGCAGAATAGACACCATGTCCCAGGAGAACGTCTCAGACAAAGTGAGAGACCTGCAGGTAGAGATAAAGCACGCCAGCACATACCTGTATGTATTTTTAGCAGTATTATAAGGTGTGCCCAGGGCGGGGCCACTGGGGCACTGGCCTGAGCCAAAAGCTGATTGGCCTGGGCAGTGCTCCCTCCCCTGTCACTCATCGATTCAAAACATATCATTGGCTAATGATAAGGTTGCCCCCTCTGTGTGCGTTATACAGCTTCCATGTCACAATAATTCGATTTTTCACTCAGTATATCCAATACTGGATCTATTTCACACTGAATCCTCGCTGGTTTGGGTTCATGTGATACTGGACCTTTAACATTTAACATTTATCCACACTCACCTAGTATTGGTTTCACATTATTAAAATTAATGGCACTGTTAGTGCTATCATTTTTCACATATAATATTTGTGCTGTTTAGCATTTCTTCAAAAGTCTGACATGACAAGGGAGGAAATTCTTCCATGGATAATAGACAAATTATAATAGGAATTAATGATAGGATAATAGGAAGTCATCCCATTGTTGGCCTGTTAACATCCCGCTGTAGGCCTTCTCGCTGTAGACCTGTTAACATCCCGCTGTAGGCCTTCTCGCTGTAGACCTGTTAACATCCCGCTGTAGGCCTTCTCGCTGTAGACCTATCCTCTCTGACCATTTTTTCCCATTTAATCAGAGGCAAATAGCCCAGAATATAAAGTTTGGTCAGAAGCCGTCCTCTCCAAGGAAGAGTGAGGATGCTGGAGACAGTTCCGATGAGGAAGAGGTTCCTGGGAGACCTTTGCAAGTGTTAGCTCAGGTGGAGGTGGAGCCAGTGGGGGCAGCAGTAAGTCACCCAACAGTAACTCCACAGTGAAGGAGCCACTGCACACTGTACTCAGATTCAGGAGCACCGTCCATACAGCTCACCTGAAATGAGCCTTAGCCACTGCAGACACGCACTGCAGTAAGGGCAGAAGTTAAATTTAGAGAAATACTTCCCTTCAGGCTATTGTGGATGGGATATGATTTGTGGATGGCGCAAGGTACAGGCAGTTCTCGACTGCCGTAAGTAATGCATTCCACAAACCCTTATGTAAGTCAGATTTTATGTAAGTAGGATGTATCATTCAGGACACTTAAAAAAGAAACACGTAAGCCAAAAACACACAAGTAATAGGTACTAAAGCACACATATTAAATAAATAAAAGATAAAGTGTAAAGTTACATACAGGCATATGGTATCTCGGTTATTTTTTGCGTAAGTCTGGATGTTCGTAAGTTGGATTAATACAGATCGAGAGCAGCCTGTATTATAACATAAAGGTTATTGAATATTGTGACAGTAACATGACTGCATTGCTGAAAGCGGAATGTGCACCTCCATTTGCAATCACTAGTTAAGTAGTATATTTATGATGCTTCAAATTAATCTGTATGTGTTGGTTTTGTGGTTTCCAGGGTGCTGTCCAGACCGGTGTCCTGGACAGAGCTGAGGGTGGGACCCAGGCAACAGTGCTGAAATCTCCCAGAACCAAAAGAGCGATTCCACCTGCAGGCACAATCGAGTCTATCAACCTGGATGCTGTGCCCCTCTCTTTAACCTGCCTCGACAGCACTGCAGCTAAACACAAGCTGTCCATTAAACCCAAAAACCAGAGGGTATCTCGCAAACACAGACGGTTTACTCAGGTGAGACGATCAGTGGTCTCCTGGTGCAGGTGAAGAAGGCAGAGTGTACGAATTGAATGTAAATAAAAGTCTAGAAATGTAAATAAATAAATGCCAGCGGTTTGTTTTCTTAGGATCTGCAAGAAGTCTCAATGCCTGGTGTTCTGCAAGAAGATACAGAGCCACAGACACCTGGAGATGGTGGTGGATTCACATTGAAGTGTGAAGAACCTTTATGGTCAGAAGATGAGCTACCAATTGGATCTCCAGAGAAGTCAAAGAAACCAAAGCTCAATGATGAAGCTCAACTGTTAGAAGATGAGTGGGCTGTCGAGGAACGGCAAACCAGCAGGACACAGGAAGTTCTGGAAGAGAACCGTAAAACTGAAGATAGAGAACTGAGGAAAATGGAAGAAGATCATCAGAGAAAAGCAGAAGAACTGAGACTACAAAAGGAAAAGAAGAAAAAGGAAGAAAAGGAAGAGATGGAAAGCCGAAGCAAAGAGGAAAAAAGGAGGATAAAGAATGAGGAGGAAGTGAAACGACAGCAGGAGTTGGAAGTAGAACTGCTGAACTTGGAAAAAGAGAGGAAACTAATTGAAGAAGAGGAGAGAAGGACATTAAGAGACTTAGAAGAGCAGAGTCGGCAGCAGCGGGAAGCGCAAAGGCAAGAGGAAAATAGGATACCGAAGAAAGACAATAAAGAACAGAAACTAGAAGAGAAGAGGAGAATAAATGAGGTAGAACTACAAAGTCAAGACAATGAACGGCAAAAGCGTGAGCAAAATGGGCAGGGCAACCAGCCTGCTGAACAGAGCAAACTCACAGGAGCCTCACAAGAGGAAGGCATGGGCAGAACTGAAGCCTCCCCTGAAGACACAGCCGATTCTGCAACATGGAAGCAAAAGGCAGAGGAGTTGCGCTGGAAGGAGATGGACGAAAAACAGAGGCCTTTCACCTTCAAAGTGTCATCTGGAGAGAAGCAGATACTGTTCCAAAGAGTCAACCTGTCACCTGTGACACCCAGCAGGCCGCAAGGCAACCAGACGGACTTCAAAGAGACAAAAACACCACCGACTAGAACTGGAGAGTCCCCGACGCTGCCCTGCTCCTTGTTTGTACCACATACTGCAATACTTGTTACCGGGGCTCAACTTTGCGGTGCCGCGGTGAACCTGGACCAGATCAAGGACCCCGCTTGCAAGTCCCTGCTTGGTCTGACTGAGGACAAGAAAGCTATTAGCCTCCCCCTGAGCAAAGGCCCTGTCAAGACCTCAGCAGAACGCAAGTCGGGGAAAACCAAATCCCTGAATGAGTCTTCTGCCGATCAGTCCAGCTCTGCTATGCTGGCAGAATGGGCCAGCATTCGCTCAAAAATATTCAAAAGAACTGAGAATGGAGATGACCTGGACCAGAACATCCAGCACCAGAACCAACCCCCAAGTGAAGATCTGAGCCAGAAATCATTGTCTGGCGTACACGGAAACCTCAGAAAGACGATGTCCGTTAATGCAAAGTTCTCAATTACACCTGCAAGGCAAAAATTCCCAGATTCAAGCAGGGCTTCTGAGGAAGAACAGCAAAAGGAGAGACAAGGTGGACAGGTGGAGCCTTCTCCAGACACTGGGGTGCCTCTCCCCGACTATCCAACCTCAGAGGCTCAGAACCGGACCGGTAAGACTGTTCGGATCCAGGACAGAACAGAAGGGTGTATGTTTGCGAAAGATCTGCCATCCTTCCTGGTCCCCAGCCCACCTCAAAGTTCCCTCAGGAGCAGATCACAGTCAGAAGCTGGGAACCCAGTGCTGTGTGACTCCAGCTGGGACAGCAAACCCCTAAGCAGTGAGGACAAAGCCTCTCCTTTTGGCGTCAAGCTAAGAAGAACGAACTACTCTCTCCGCTTCCGCAGTGAGCAGCCGGTGGAGAAACGGAAGAAGCGGTACAGTGCGGGGGACAGCTTCGATGGAATCCCGAGTCCTTTGACTCCCATCGATCCGGACTCATCAGAAAAGTCCAGTCCCTCATCTCCACTACGTGACGGTATCAACCAACTGGGTTACACTGGAATAACCACGGAATCCAAGTTCCCGGCCGAACAGGCCCCCGTCCCGGCCACGCGCGGTGACAGTGAGAGGCACCATCCCAAGCAGCTACACTCGAAACCCGCCATCGCACCAAAGCCCTGCAGCAGCAGCACACCTCCCCCGTCCCCACAGGTCAAAGGTCAAGCTGCAGCACTGAGTGCAGCCGCAACTGCCAGCGCTCGCCAGGAGTCACAGGAACAGGACAGTAGCACAGGTCTCCTGGCAAAGGCCCGGCTAGAAGAGGAGGGGCCAAAGGAGAGGAAATCCTTCTTCCCATCCATCAGCATTCCCTGGAGGGAGAAAGGCGACAGGAGGGTGGAGGTTATCAAGAGAGGTCAGTGAGGTAGCCTAGCAACAGCACACTTTACTGTAGAGGACCCAAACATGTGTCTGTGTGACGTTTGTCCTTCATTGTTTTATTGTCCTTTACCCTAATACTGTCTGTTTTATATCTTTTAGGGTCAAATAAGCCATTAATTTAAAATTAGCCTTTTTCAATTGGACAAAAATGTGCAATGTTTTAACAGTAGCGACTTTGCAAAAAAACGGCTAGAGTTATTGAATAATGGTTAAAAATGATCGTTCAGGGCAAAAACATAGAGGTTAAGAACCACATCTCATGGGAAAAACTAAGGGCGTGTTTTAAAGGCAATATTTTAGTTTGCTTATTTTTCAAGGATTCGTTTTTATTTTAATTAACAAATAACTTGCTTTTTTTATTTTAATTTAGTAATTGATTGCCACACACTCTTGTCAAGTGCCTTGAGGCACCAAATTGAATTGCCATGAATAATAATTATAGTAATAAGCTTTGATATTAAGATGTATCTGGGATGTCTTTGCTGAAATGTGGTTGTGTTTGGTCTTTGTTACACTTTGGTTGTATGATGGTTGTGAAACTTCCCACGGAGAGACATATGCAGGGTGTTCTGCCCACGTTGCCAGGCAATGTTTGTTGTTTGAGCCGCCAGTCAAAAGTGTCCCCAAGTGAACTATCACTTGTTTATTTGATCCTTGGAATATATATATATATATATATAGTGCTGCCTACTATTCTATAAGTAGTCTGTGGTTTGTCTAGTGAGCAGTTGATTATTAGACAGTGTCAGTAGCTCTTGTAGCACAGTAGCACTGTAGCTCTGTCATGGCACTGCTCGATTCTGCAGATATTACAGTATTTCTTTTGTTTCTAAGAGGTCCAAGCAGATTTTTGGAGCTTTTATGTCAGTCTTCTTTTCGCCATTTTATGCATATTTTCCCCCTTTGATTAGCTGAATAAGTTTAAGCAGATAGGTTTAATCTTTTTTTGATTTTTGTGTTTCTTTTCTTCCCACCATTTTTCACCTGGGATTGAATGGCTTTGGACTTGTGTGATAAAATCACTTGAATCTCCATCACCATCGTGGTCCTTTTACGGTCACATCCCCTCCATTGAGCACTCGATTCCGCCTAAGCGCAGTCCCTCCGGCACGCGTTGGTGGTTATGGCTCTGCTGACTAGTTGTGCTGCTTTCCTCTCGACAGAGAAGCCGTTCCTGCAGAGTAGACATTCCCTGGATAGCGGACGCATTGAGCAGACCAGGCCTCACGTGACGGAGCATGAGAGACAGCCGGAAAAGGAGACGGGGCCTCTGTGGATCACACTGGCCCTTCAGAAACAAAAAGGGTTCAGGGAACAGCAGCAGAGTCGAGAGGAACGCCGACAGATGCGAGAAGCCAGACTGGCAGAGAAGCAATCCAAAGAGGAACAAGTACGTACTGATCCATACTGCAGGTCCGCTGACTGCTGCTCTTACGTGACCATTTCTACTTTACTTGTACTGACCATCACTAAATCTGCAAGCAACAATGACATATGTTCAAATCCCAGGGCCGACAGACTGATTTCACCGCTGGGCCCTTGGGCAAAGCCCTTAACCAGAAGCAGTTGCTCCAGGGACTGGCTGACCCTGCCTTCACAAAAGAGGTACGTTTCCTTGGATAAAAGCATCTGCTAAAGAAATTGATTTTAACAGCCTCTGCTTCTATGTGATCAGGTCACAGATAGTATGTTGTAGCCTTGAATAAAAGTTTGTGATCCCGTTAGAAATATGTGGAGCTCTGCATGAACGGCTCATGTAACGTAATCATCATAGGGACAGTTTATCTTTATTGAACAGTAAAGGTCAACTAAGAAACAAGAATTTGAACCTCTAGAGCGATGACCTTTACAAAAGAGGGGCAGTGGGGTGAAATGTAACCTGCCGGAAAAACAGTTTTGGTTACCTGCACAACAGAATAAAAAAAAGGTCTGATCAGTGTAGATTTCAGAGGACCTGAGGAGAAACTGTTGAAACTCATAAGATTAGAACGTGTGAGGAGCCTGGGCCTCCATCAGTCCACGTGCAGGCAGATAAATTCAGTATCCATGCTGCAGCAGCCCCTGAGTAGGAGTAAAGCTAAGATAATTAGATCAGTACAAGGGCATGTTGTAAAATCCTTAAATAAGTGGCAAAGGTCCCTAGGGTGACAGATAAGGATTTGCAGCCATATGGGGCACTCGATTCCATCTCTGTTCATGAGTTTACCGGGGAAAAAAACGCATAGAAACAAAGGAAACCGCCGTTCCCCAAAAAAATCCCTTCTGCTGACATTAAAGATTCTACTAGTCACTAAGTATCATAGTTCATAACTTATCTATCAATATGTTAAATATAGATTTGGCGTTGTGAAATGTTGTGTGTGTTATTTGCTAAATAAGAATGTCCTCATTATAATGACTTGGATAATGATCAGATGACATTTAAGGGCCGTTCACGCAGGAGGGCTTCACAGATTTTTAGAATGAAAATCTTAGTCAAAGAAGGTCCGGAAAACACGCTGGGTCTCACAGCTAGCGAGTCTATGCAGAGCTTATTTTCTACTGTAATCTAAACATTAAAGTTCAGCTTATCTTGTACAGACATGTTTTCTATTTAAAGTAATCAATATCCTACATTATTGTTTTCAGTGTGGTTCATACAGAAGGTCCATCTTCAAAAACTGTTCCTGAAGGATGTTCTTTCTCCCGCAGAGCGGATGTAGCAGCCCAGAGAGCAGAGAAGGCAGCGATGGGGGGGGTCTCGCTCAGAAAGGCGGGGAGTGTGGCAGGGGATGTGGCGCTTTGGGCCTGTTCGAGCGCAGGGAGCAGCTGAGGAAGGCCAACACTCTCCCCAGCACTGGTGAGAGGCCGCCGCTGCTCCCCACCCCCCCCCCCCCCAAGATAAATAAGTGTAGAGACTGAGGTCCAAAGTATCACATTCATCAGAGGAGAAAAATATAGTCAGAGAATTCTGTGTAGCTGAATAAGCAGAGCGATTCACTCGAATTTATAGGGTTCAGAATTTGAAAATGAAAACATAAAACTGAAACGTCAGTACGCTCGATGGTGACGACATGGGCCTATGGACTTTCTCTGATGGTGTTTCAGGTTTGGTTGTGTGGGTTGCAGTTAATGTTTTATTAGCTTATGAGTTTTGTTACCAAAAATAGCATCATTACTGTACTACAGTACAGGATCCCAAACTTTTGATGATTGCAGGTCAGTACATGGTTCGCAAAAATTTCACGAACCGGTAAAACTTCTTGACTGGGGGGGGGGGGGCAGAGTTACTATGTTTGACCGTTTCCATTTTTAATTTTCCCCGATGCCATCTAAATGCGCCATCGAGCATTTGGGGAAGGGGGCAGATTTACTATGTTTGATGCATCATTGAGTGGGGGGAGCCAGCTGCAATGTACTGAACATGCATGATGTTTCCCATGTCGCAGTGGATGCTGCGGACTCCACACCTGCGGCTCCTCCAGTGAAGGATGCAGTGAAGCGCTTCCCATGCGTGGAGTCGGCGCAGGTCTGCACCGAACCCGCCTGGCTGGCCCTGGCCAAACGCAAGGCCAAGGCCTGGAGCGACTGTCCTCAGATCATCAAGTAAACTGGCAGAAAGTCCGCCCTCCACATTCCGGCCCTGATCTCCGCACAGTTGCACATCACCTTCTGATCCCCATACTATCACAATCAGCAGCAGATCTCTACATGCCCAGCATGCGAATCTGATTCTTACGCATGGTGTAAGGTGTGTGCTCAGGGCTGCCCCAACTCCTTTTGGCACAAAATTTGATTAGCCTAGTTGTCATTTGTCATCTTCCTTCCCATTCTGACAGGCTGATCATATGGGGGCGCCCCCTGGTGGCCGCTGAGCCCTAAGCAGCCGCATACTTTGCATATGCCTTGGTCGGGTCCTGGGTGTGCTGTAGTATGAGGTATGGAAGCGATGTACGCTGTGTGTGTGAGTAATTACACAGTGTAGCACGTAAGGACTCAGACTGGTGAGCAGAAGTTTGTAAATGCTGTGCGGGTCAGTGATACTGTAGGTATGAGTATGGCACAAAACCTGAAATCAGGAAATATCACAGTCCTTGTCGATCCAAAGGGGTTTTAAGGGAACATGGTCAGACACTCGCTGGCTCCTTCCTGCTGTTCTTCTGCACCCTGGTGACACCTCAAGTTGTATCTGGAGAGAAGCCGCCATGGATGCATCAGCGTTGAAAGTACTAGGCTTGAATTTCACTTTTCCATGACAATGGCATCAAGAGAAAAAGAATTAAACACTTAACATTTATCTCTAAAAGGATTAAACATTTGGAGATGCAACACTGCCAGTGTTTAAATCCTGCCTGGTTGTCTAAAAGAACGAAATGCTCCAAATTCTCCTGACTTTTTGAAACACACGATGTCTGCTGTTTCTCTGATTATTGACGATGTGATCAGCAACGTTTTAAGGGCTTAGTACTGCAGAAAAATGTGACTCGACCACCGTCCAGGAGGGTCTAAAACATTCTCACAGCATGTATATGTCAAAAACTGTATTCCTTACTACTTTTTTTATCTAATCATTTTTTAATTAGTATTTTGGGGTAATTTATTTTTCCGCTGTTTGGTTGTTCCCAATCCTTGTCTAATGCTTTATGTTCCTGGTCAGGTTCAGTGGTTCTCTGTTTGGGTTAAGTGTGATTTACAGATATCAGTGTGACTTTTCAGCTTCACCACAGTACTCTGCATTTTAATTGGTCACAAAAACCCAGCACTGAATGTCAAGACTGCCAGCTCATTGGTGAATAGGCTTCTTATTTGGCAGCATTCCACCAATCAGAACTGCCCTGCAGAGCACTGACGCCCACTACAGCATGGACTGCTCAATACTGACCAATCAGGATACATCAAGTGTTTCACCTTTCTGTATAAAATGTAGTTACATCATGTACTCTATGTATAAACACAATGACTGGAGCGTTAAAAAATACTCCCACAATGCATTGGATTTGTTGGCCCATTTCTTTGTTGAGTAGTACACAATAGCATAGTCACACTTCCACTTTATGGTCCACAGAGTTATGCCTAATGCAATCATTTGAGGTGACACTAATGTCATGTGTAAGGTAGAGAAATTAAAAACCGATGTCACACTTGTTGCGTGTCAGAGTAGTATGTTTGTGTACCACAGGAAAAAGATACAACTACTGTTGTATGTTAATGGTGACCCTACACCCCAAATACACTGCAGGAAATTGAAACGATTTAGTTTCCATTTGTACAGATATACTGGAATGCTTTAGTTTCCACATATCCCATCATGCTCTGCTTTAAGACACACGCAGGTGATGGTTGAGCTTGGGGTCCGAACGCTGAATCATTTTGGGGGTTACAGGCCTTGCTCAAGGTCCCAACGAAAATGTGACTATTCTGGCAAGGATGGGATTTGAACCAGTAACCTTCCGATCGCAGACACTAACCCACTGAGCCACACACTACAAGCAGCATGCACCACACTGATGCTGGAGGTTCTAGTAGCTGTGCGGGTGGATGAGACTGTAAGATGCCCGCACTACCATGGTTGCTTCTACTGTCTGTGGTCTGTAACTCCAGCTACGACCCTCCTGAGTCCGAATCTGTATTCAGTTCTTTCTGCTTGATGATGTCTACGCAGTAAACGAGGTCGTTCCTGCAGCCCACAACTAGTGAGTCCTGCCAAAGTACGGGGGATGAGAAGAGCTCCCCGGGAAGCTGCAGGGAGGCCCTAAGGGCTCCGTCATCTCCATCCAGGAGCCACACAGTCCCATCTGTGGAGGAGACCACCACCAGCGACGTGCAACCCCACCGGGAACCGTTAACGGCGAAGGGGCAGGAGAAGACCCGGGCTCCGGTCTGAAAGCGCCACACCAGCGTCCCGTCACTGCCGTTCACACAGTAAACACAGCCATCATGTGACCCACACAGCACCCTCTGATTGGCTACATCTGTCTGAGTGCCGAGCATGGGACATGGAGATGAGAATATGGGTCCACCAGTGGAGAACTGCCAGACCTGAAAGGATAGACGTACCTGGATATAACACATTATATAGGACAGCGCACTGTACACCATAACATGAGGTATCACAGCAGGAAGGAGCATAACAAACTGCATATGAAGACCTAAACTCATGATTAAATACTAGTGCTACGCTGCCTAAATAAAATCTTGCAGGAAAATGACAGAGAAACCACAGATCAGTGGTTAGTGTGTAAATACTAGTGTGTGTAATTCAGTGTGTTGTGTGCAGGATGTGCAGGATGTGTTCTCCTTATGCTCACACTACTACGATTCACATCCTGTGGGAAGAGGTACAGCTACAATTGCACAATATTAATATATAACGCAGCAGCAAACCGCATAGTATACTGGCTTGAGACCATGTTTTTAAAAATTATCTATGCTATAATCTTTATGTACACTGCCTGGCCAAAAAAGTGGCACACTTTAATATTTAATTGGACCACCTTTTGTCTTTTTTTTAATTATGGTGCATATTCGTCAATGCATTGTTTCCACATGCTTATGCAACATCTCAACATACACTCACCTAAAGGATTATTAGGAACACCATACAGTACTAATACGGTGTTTGACCCCCTTTCGCCTTCAGAACTGCCTTAATTCTACGTGGCATTGATTCAACAAGGTGCTGAAAGCATTCTTTAGAAAT